GACTTCTTGTTAAAAACCGCAAGTCAATTGCTTTGATATTACATATATAGGTACTACATGTGTACCTCTCTCAGATTTGTTCATTTTGTGATGATGTCTTCAATTCTCTAATTTTGGTGAATATTTTTGTAATTTTTGGTAAAAAGTCATATTTTCGACTTCTTGTTAAAAACCAATAGTTCAATTGCTTTGATATTACGTATATAGATACTACATGTAGACTTTTCCCAGATTTGTTCATTTCGTGATGATATCTTAGATTCTTTATTTTTGGTGAATATTTTTGTCATTTTTGGTAAAAAGTGATATTTTCGACTTCTTGTTAAAAACTGTAAGTCCGATTGCTTTGATATTACATATATAGGTACTACATGTGGACCTCTCTCAGATTTGTTCATTTTGTGGTGATATCTTCAATTCTCTAATTTTGGTGAATGCTTTTGTCATTTTTGGTAAAAAGTGATATTTTCGACTTCTTGTTAAAAACCAAAAGTTCAATTGCTTTGATATTACATATATATAGATACTACATGTAGACATTTCTCAGATTTGTTCATTTCGTAATGATATCTTAAATTCTCTAATTTTAGTGAATATTTTTGTCATTTTTGGTAGAAAGTGATATTTTCGATATCTTGTTAAAAACTGTAAGTCCGATTGCTTTGATACTATACATATTGTTCATTTTCTAATGATGTCTTCAGTTCTTTAATTGAAATGTGCATTGCTAACAGCGGAGCTATCTCAGCCGATAGGCTGCTTGTTTAAAAATTTAACAATGTTAAGATCATATGAATAAGAATATATTACTATTGCATTCTGTGCCATCTTGCACAATTTTGAGATATAAAAAAGTAATTCCCTCAAAGAAAACCAGTGCAAAAATGCAAATTTATAATGACATTTCTGAATAGCAGAAATAAGTTTTGGCGTTTTTCCAGCATGTACGAATCTTGTCTGTCCTTTTGGGTTCTCATTTAATTGTTTGTTTGAATAAATTCACAGTGCCTTTTGTGAAATATTCTCTTCATGAATGGCATTAAATCCTCTAACTACAACACTTCCTCGCAGTAAAAATCAAACAATGTTCTGAAGCATGCACCTCCAGCTGTTGCCGCGGAACAAGAAATCCCCAAATATTTCCTGCAACTCTTCCATATTGATAGAATTCAATATTTCACATATTCCGGTAATGATCTCAGAGTGCAATCTTGAAGTTGCAAACATTTCATATACCTTAAGCACGCATAAACTAAAATTACATTTACTGACATAGATCTATTGTCTCTGTAATTTCTAATATGTGCTGTACATATAATATTTAACATTACATAAAGTTTCTTGTTTCTAGAACCCTTCATATGCAAAATATTAGATTTTAAGAGTTTATTGAACATGATGTCTTCAGTAAATCATCAAAAGAAAATGTATTTTTTGTAATTCTAAAATTGTCATTAAATGTGTGCTTTTATTTTGATTTTTCATGAAAAGTAAATTTTTCTGAAAAATTCCAAAAAAAAAAACATTTTTAACTTAATATATATACATGTATATAAGATATAATATAAGAATATTCTTGTCACATTTCTTATTTATTATACCATATTTTCTATTCGCTTCAGGTCTACAAAAACCCTTTCAATTTTGGTGCTCGAGAGAATTGGAGGTTGTTTTTAGGTCTTGGTGAAGGAAGGTAAGTGAATTCTCTGCATTATTCTAGTGAGACTGTCAGTCTTAGCTTTAGATCATAAGTGGTTTGGAACTCGTTCAATCACCATCATTTTTTCCCATCAAAATGTTGGTTCAGTATTTTTCACAATCCACTGTTGCCAATGGGTCTTGATCAAAATTGTGAACATCAAGTTCAAGTTTATTTGAAAACGTAGCAAAAGTAGACTTTGACTTTAAAGACTGTGATTGTGCAGTCATGCCACACAGTTTTTTGCAAAGCAAGTGCAAATGAAGAAATAAAGTTGCTTTCATTGTCACGCTGGCAACTGATAACTCAAATGATAATTCCGCTTACTTTGCAGTGTTTTAGAGAAAATATACTGTCATTAAGAATACAAATTTGTATACTATTTTCAAATCAGTATTATCAATGAAAATGTTTTAAATTACACTTTTTCTTTGGGTACTTATTTTTACTTTCATTTGTAGGGTTTTTTGGAGACATATTCTATTACCATCATCACATTTCCCATTCAGTGATGGTCTACAGTGGCCTACAACCAATCATAATGTAGTTGACTCAGTCGTCCAAGATGAAACAACATAGAGCCTGTTAGTGTGGCCTTGCAACCAGATTCACCGGTACATATCACCGTCTTGTATTGTGCATTTGTTTTCACTGTATGCTGTTGTTTGCTCTTGCTTAAAATGATTCTTGTTATTTTTGTCACTGTAAAGTTCCTTGGTGTAGCTGATGCTTCAGTTTCATTGTGCCTTGATTGATATTTATCATTTATCTCAGTTCGAATTTTAATAGTTCAGAAATTAAAATAAGTACCGGTACTGAGTATTTGAGCAGTAGTTTATTCTGGAAAGATTACAAATTAAGGGATAATTCTTACCATTCATTGTCTCACCATCATTAAAGGAACTTACTCTGACTGACATAATTCATTTTATATCATGCATGCTCCATTCTTAACCATGTTATATTATTTTATCTCTGATTGGTTTTCCAACCTGCCTTACATCGATGTAAGGTCCTTACCACTGTTTTCTCCCTCCTGTTTTACCACCTGTTCTTGGTATTTTGCATTATAAAATTGTATCATTTATTGTCCATAGTAGCTCTAGTCAATCTGGTTGCAAAGTAACATTTTCATTGTAAATGTATTTGTGACATTGTTTGTTTTACTGTCCATTTCTTGTTCAGCTGCTTTTTAAACAGCCAACACAGAAATAAACTAATCAGGAAAACTGTTATCTCTCAATCATTTTTTTCTAAGAACATTGCCATCAGTGTTTGTAAAGACATTTCTTTTGTCCGCTGCAAGGTGAGATCACTCATTTGCGTACCAAATGTCCTATTTTTGTCAAATGTACTCAAATTTGAAATGACATTGTATTTTGTAACCAAAATCTAATTCAAATGTAGAATGATTGTAGGTTTCAAAGATTCACCATTTTTACATTTCACTCAATTGTTTGACTCAAAGTCTAACTTTAATTTGAATCCAAATCTATAAATCTCAATGGATTCATCCCCTCACTCTGTTTAAATTGCTACTCGGTAGTTATGAGCATCCCTTGTGAAAATGGTTGTGTCTAGGAGCATCGGCTTGTTGGAATGGAATATTCCAAAATCAATTAAAACAAACACCACTGGCTATGTTTGTAGGTATTGCAAAGGAAACTCATAGGGAGATAACAGTTTTTCTGATCAGTTTATTTCAATACTTGCTGTAAAGAAATGTTAACCCCCCCCCCCCCCCCTGGAATTCTCAGTATATTAAATATAAACACACACAAATGTGGAACATTGCATCATGAAAAACTTCAATAACATTTGCATAAAACAAATTACCAGAGCAGCTCATACTAATATTGTAAAATAATAAAAATTGTACATATGCATGAATCTCTGGTTGACAGAAGTGCTATAATATTGTTAATTCCCTCATATATTTTCAAAAGCTTTTTCCAGCATTTCATATTGTAAAACACCATATGAATTGATTCTGGAAGTCACATCTTCACTGCTGAATCAGAAAACTAAAACATACTTTTCTGTGTTCATTACAAAAAATAACTAGAATCAATCATAATAATAAATTCCTGTTTCCTAACAATTTAACAACTCTTTCACTTTCTCTTTTGCTGTCATTTGTGGCACAAATTGACTTGCACTAGTTAGCCTACCAGCTTCAAAGTGTATGGGAAAAGTGACTTACCTGTATTTCTTTCAAGACACTTTTTGATAGTAGTGTAAAAGCAACAGAAAAAGAATGTGTCTTGTATACATGTAAGATCATCCACACATATAGAAAATTGTGGATTTTTGATTCAAAATTGTACAAAAAATATGTGTATGGCGTCCATTAGGAACACAGCTACTAAAACAGATTTTAGGGTATTAACCAGTGCAGTCATGTCTCCACTGCACACTCTATGGCCAATGCTTTTTCTGAAAAGGTAACAAAAACAAGGAAGTGTGCATCTGTTATTGGACTAGCCTGACATGGTTGCTGATAGCTATAGGCCCCTCACCGATGGATTCACTGAGTGAATCACTTGATTTGCAAACAGAGGACGGGTGGTTTGATATTATCATGACATCATACTAATACCTGGTATACAATAAATTGTATATTAAAGTATATGCAAATTATTAATTTAAGGAATATTATCCAACAAAAGGTTTTCACTATTGTATCATTGACTTTATCATCTATAATGTGCATTTGTTCCTTTTACTGTACTGTACAAATCCTGGACCTCAACACACTGACAAAACATATTATACCACTGTTTTGTACAATAGATACAAGTTTAATATGAATATTGTCTTATCTATTACTACAGGACTTTTTGGAACAGTATAGCTATGCCGTCTGGACACCCTCCATCAGGCAATGGAATGACCTGGAAATATAGTTATGATAAACAATCTGCTAATGGTACCTGTTATGTGTAATTTTATATTTCAAAATCACATAATCACGAATTTAAATCAAGACCTCCATATGGGATCAATGTTGTTGGGTTTTTCAACAAATATAATTATTCACAGAAATGACAAAATAGTGGTCAAGAACTATTGTGAGTTGTTTGTATTCACCAGATTTGAAGGGTGGTGGCCGTCGCGCAGCTCGTGTTCGAATTTCATGTAAGCTAACAATGTATTTTACTCGCATTGTATACGTTGCTATGAGTCCCATATTGAACACGACACGGCTTGACGACCACAACTCTTTGATAAATCTTGACGTGTGGCCTTAAGGTAGAATCAAGTCATTGGTTTTTCATATTTGCTCATATTTCAATATAGCAGTGACAAAAACAGTATGTAGACTTTTTAGCTCCGCTGTCGACTTTGTCGAGCGGAGCTTATCATATGAGTGATTGTCCGTCGTCCGTTTCAATGTTTTACTTTTTCGACTTCTTCTTGAAAACTACAAGCCTGAATGTTTTGATACTTGGTGTATATGTACCTTGGGTAGACCTCTCTCAGATTTGTTCATTTCATGATGATATCTTCAATTCTCTAATTTTGCCTCATAATTCATTCACCCAAGATAACCACTCTGATACCACTCGTATCAACCCACTCTTTATGACATTTTATAACTCAGTTCTACGAAGTCACCATGCTTAGAATAAACATTGGATGAATTACTTTATACATCAAATAATATGGTATTTCAACTCATAAAGTACAACCAACCAATTGATTTATGTATATGGTACATATTTTCAATTTCTGTAGTATATTGTGTTTTTTTTTCTGTGTGGTGTGGTATATCTTTTTCTACAAACTTAATTTATCATTGTATTTTTGTACTAGATAGTCATATTGTGTGATTACAGCTGATAGTAAATACTACACAGTTCGTATCCTATTCTTAAAAACATGAATATAATTTGTATTGTAATCTTATAATTTTTATTTAATTTTTGAAAGTTTTTTGTGTAGTTGAAATAAAGGTTTTGTAAATATTCTGTACAAAAAAAGACTTGATTTATGAACTTGGTGTCATATTTTGAACTTTTTCAAGCAAATCTTTTAAATTAGCTAAAATTATTTACATAATTATTTTAGATTGCTAAATAGCCTGAAATTTTATAAAATACCTTTAAATGAAAAGTTACTGGATTACAAGTGTAAATGACTAGCATAACATAACTTTGCGTTATTGTTGGTAACTCTGAATTTTCTCTTTGTATGCACTTGACATTCAATGAGCACGATGAAATGTTTATAAATTATGGTTTTACGTCTCTACTAATTGGAAATATTTGACATTAGTTACTGTTAAGCTGAAATGAATATCCAGATTAAGGCGTTACATTTATTTTCTTAAAACAATTTCAAGTCTCAGAGAATTATCCATACTCATTGTGTAAAGTTATTATGTATAAATTGGTGTCACAGTCTGAGTCATTGAATAAAGTATTACTAAAAATCACAAAATATAGTCTTCTTTGAATTCTGAGAATTGTCAGAGTTTACAAATAACAAATCGCAAGAAGGTCGACTTGGTTGCTAGGCAACTAAAGATTGGGTCATGAAATAGAATGGAGGCTAATCTCTCTCTCTCCCTCTCTCTCCCTCTCTCTGTCATTTCTATGACCTCTTTTTTAACACACTTAAAACAGCCTGTCTTTTACCTCCATGGAACAGCTAAGTATGGTCTGTGTTATCCCTGTTTGCATTGACCGTGATGAGTGTTACCACCCAATCATCACACGGATACCATGAATGTAAATGTACATATGTCATAAATAATAAATCAGTAATCGAATACTACAATCGATTCAAAAGCTCAATTAAATAAAAAGCTAATGTTCTTGAGACTTCAATATTGACATGTTGACAACCATCCGACGTCCATTATGTGTCGTTATTAATGGGAGATTGAAAATGATGTCTTAAAGAAGCAGTGCACCATGCAGACTGGCACGACGAGGGGTGTGACAAAAATATATCAATATATGTGATAACATGTAATACAATAGATCATAAAATAATATATTGGATTTACGAAAGATTAAATATATTTATTGATTCTGATTAATAACTGACATTGAAGTATTGTATTATGCATTGAATAAACACTACGGGGGTGATACAACGATGAATAGAATGAAATAATACACATCTACTACTAATAAAAATTGTCCGTTGAGTTGAGATATAAAGTCCCGGATGTAAACACAAAATTTGAATTGGTAATTATAATAAATTACATAATACATATATGATTTTTTCCCCAAATTGTTTTCCATTTTCTTGTTCTTCACTGCTTTCAAGTGCATTTTATCAACGTGTACATATGATTTACTGGAATGTAGTGTTTATACACGTATCTATGGCAACGAAAGGTCAAACATGTGGTTGTATATGTCAAGCGAAAAACTCTACATACCCTCACATGACCTCCATTTTACATTACAATGATATACTATCGTCATAGGTGTGACTATTTAAAGTAGAAGCATACTCATGATTTCAAATACCCAGAAAGTAGTAATTTTCTAATAAATAGAAGGATATTGACTTTAAAAAAGTTGCGGGTCACCAGCTCAATTTTCGAGAAAATAATGGTTGTTTTTTAATGGACAGAGGCAATGTTGGCAGTATTATAGTGCCTTTACCATAGGTTCCTATGGCAGAGATATTTTGTCATATCTCAAATTGTAGACTGGTGACATCATAGGCTGAAAAAACTACTATATTATGAATGACATTTTATTTGATAAATCTGGGTTATAATAATGTCAAAGAAATACAATTTTTCTTTCACATTGTGCTCTATGGAATTATTCTATTTTTGTTTAAATACTAGAACAAATTTATCAAAATACGTCACTGTAACACACAAAAGAATGCTATTTTATGGTGATATTGGACAATGACTTTTGTTTTTACACAATTAACCAATGAACATTATCATGCGATTTTATGACCAACTTTCTTAAAAATTATGTGTAGAATTACACGACATTCTACCAGAATTTAAATTGGGCTCAGTGGATGTGTACATATTATAGTGAATGTACGTCACGTTACCACAATGATCGAATACATCCGTATTTCAAGTAAATAGCGATAGGCCGTTTACATCAATTATAAAACGTATAATCAAATCCATCGATAATAAAATCGATAAGACATATAATTTAAAATATTCATAAATATATGCATGATATCAGTATAATGAAACATGAAAGGTATTTGTCACATTTCTATAAAAATACGCAAACTAGCACTAACGGTGCAAATGAATGAGTGTATTAAGAAGTATGTATTATTGAGTCTCGTTGTACATAAGTATGAGTGCCATGATATAGGCCAGGAGTCCAATCACAAGAAACAGTCTGTCCATTACAGTCGCCATGTATTTCCAGTCATCTTCCATCTAAAAGGCAAAGGTATAAGAACGTGTATCAGTATGAACGACAACTTGTAATGTTTAGGATAACAAGCACTATGTAAGAGTTTTGATTGCACGCACTGGGCACCACGTAAGGGCTTGAATAGCAGGTACCACGTAATGGTTTGGATAGCAGGTACCACGAAATGGTTTGGATAGCAGGTACCACGTAATGGTTTGGATAGCAGGCACCACGTAGTGGTTAGGATAGCAGGTACCACGTAATGGTTTGGATAGCAGGCACCACGTAATGGTTAGGATAGCAGGTACCACGTAATGGTTTGGATAGCAGGTACCACGTAATGATTTGGATAGCAGGCACCACGTAAGGGCTTGAATGGCAGGTACAACGTAATGGTTTGGATAGCAGGTACCACGTAATGATTTGGATAGCAGGTACCACGTAATGATTCGGATAGCAGGTACCACGTAATGATTTGGATAGCAGGCGCCACGTAATGGTTTGGATAGCAGGTACCATGTAAAGGTTTGAATAGCAGGTACCACGTAATGGTTTGGATAGCAGGTACCATGTAATGGTTTGGATAGCAGGCACCACGCAATGGTTAGGATAGCAGGTACCACGTAATGATTTGGATAGCAGGCACCACGTAAGGGCTTGAATAGCAGGTACCACGTAATGGTTTGGATAGCAGGCACCACGTAATGGCTTGAATAGCAGGTACCACGTAATGGTTTGGATAACAGGCACCACGTAATGGCTTGAATAGCAGGTACCACGTAATGGTTTGGATAGCAGGTACCACGTAATGATTTGGATAGCAGGTACCACGTAAGGGCTTGAATAGCAGGTACCACGTACAGGTTTGGACAGCAGGTAACACGTAATTGTTTGGATAGCAGGTACCACGTAATGGTTTGAATAGCAGGCACCACGTAATGGTTTGGATAGCAGGTACCATGTAATGATTTGGATAGCAGGTACCACGTAAGGGCTTGAATAGCAGGTACCACGTACTGGTTTGGACAGCAGGTAACACGTAATTGTTTGGATAGCAGGTACCACGTAACGGTTTGGATAGCAGGTACCACGTAAGGGCTTGGATAGCAGGTACCACGTACTGGTTTGGACAGCAGGTAACACGTAATTGTTTGGATAGCAGGTACCACGTAATGATTTGGATAGCAGGTACCACGTAAGGGTTTGAATAGCAGGTACCACGTACTGGTTTGGACAGCAGGTAACACGTAATTGTTTGGATAGCAGGTACCACGTAATGGTTTGGATAGCATGTACCACGTAATGGCTTGAATAGCAGGTACCACGTAATGGTTTGGATAGCAGGCACCACGCAAGGGCTTGACTAGCAGGTACCACGTAATGGTTTGGATAGCAGGCACCACGTAAGGGCTTGAATAGCAGGTACCACGTAATGATTTGGATAGCAGGTACCACGTAAGGGCTTGAATAGCAGGTACCACGTAATGGTTTGGATAGCAGGCACCACGTAAGGGCTTGAATAGCAGGTACCACGTACTGGTTTGGACAGCAGGTACCACGTAATGGTTTGGACAGCAGGTACCACGTACTGGTTTGGACAACAGGTAACACGTAATGGTTTGGATAGCAGGTACCACGTAATGGTTTGGATAGCAGGTACCACGTAATGGTTTGGATAGCAGGTAACACGTAATGGTTTGGACAGCAGGTGCCACGTAATGGTTTGGATAGCAGGTACCACGTAATGGTTTGGACAGCAGGTGCCACGTAATGGTTTGGATAGCAGGTACCACGTAATGGATTGGACAGCAGGTGCCACGTAATGGTTTGGATAGCAGGCACCACGTAATGGTTTGGATAGCAGGCACCACGTAAGGGCTTGACTAGCAGGTACCACGTAATGGTTTGGATAGCAGGCACCACGTAATGGCTTGAATAGCAGGTACCACGTAATGATTTGGATAGCAGGTACCACGTATGGGCTTGAATAGCAGGTACCACGTAATGGTTTGGATAGCAGGCACCACGTAAGGGCTTGAATAGCAGGTACCACGTAATGGTTTGGATAGCAGGCACCACGTAAGGGCTTGAATAGCAGGTACATGTACCACATAATGATTTGGATAGCAGGTACCACGTACTGGTTTGGATAGCAGGTACCACGTACTGGTTTGGACAGCAGGTAACACGTAATGGTTTGGATAGCAGGTACCACGTAATGGTTTGGATAGCAGGTACCACGTAATGGTGTGGATAGCAGGTAACACGTAATGGTTTGGAGAGCAGGTGCCACGTAATGGTTTGGATAGCAGGTACCACGTAATGGTTTGGACAGCAGGTGCCACGTAATGGTTTGGATAGCAGGTACCACGTAATGGATTGGACAGCAGGTGCCACGTAATGGTTTGGATAGCAGGCACCACGTAATGGTTTGGATAGCAGATACCACGTAATGGTTTGGATAGTAGGTATCACGTAATGGTTTGGATAGCAGGTACCACGTAATGTTTTGGATAGCAGGTATCACGTAATGGTTTGGATAGCAGGTACCACGTAATGGTTTGGACAGCAAGCAACACGTAATTGTTTGATAGCAGGTACCACGTAAAGGTTTGGATAGCAGGTACCACGTAATGGTTTGGATAGCAGGTACCACGTAATGATTTGGATAGCAGGTACCACGTAATGGTTTGGACAACAGGCAACACGTAATTGTTTTATAGCAGGTACCACGTAATGGTTTGGATAGCAGGTACCACGTAATGGTTTGGATAGCAGGTACCACGTAATGGTTTGGATAGCAGGTACCATGTAGTGGTTCGGATAGCAGGTACCACGTAAAGGTTTGGATAGCAGGTATCACGTAATGGTTTAGATAGCAAGCACCACGTAATGGTTTGGATAGCAGGTACCACGTAATTGTTTGGATAGCAGGTACCACGTAATGGTTTGGACAGCAGGTAACACGTAATTGTTTGGACAGCAGGTACCACGTAATGGTTTGGATAGCAGGTACCACGTAATGGTTTGGATAACAGGTACCACGTAATTGTTTGGATAGCAGGTACCATGTAATTGTTTGGATAGCAGGTACCACGTAATGGTTTGGATAACAGGTACCACGTAATTGTTTGGATAGCAGGTACCACGTAATGGTTTGGATAGCAGGTACCATGTAGTGGTTCGGATAGCAGGTACCACGTAAAGGTTTGGATAGCAGGTATCACGTAATGGTTTGGATAGCAAGCACCACGTAATGGTTTGGATAGCAGGTACCACGTAATTGTTTGGATAGTAGGTATCACGTAATAGTTTGGACAGCAGGTATCACGTAATGGTTTGGATAGCAGGTACCACGTAATGGTTTGGATAGCAGGTACCACGTAATGGTTTGGATAACAGGTACCATGTAGTGGTTAGGATAGCAGGTATCACGTAATGGCTTGGATAGCAGGTACCACGTAATGGTTTGGATAGCAGGTACCACGTAATGGTTTGGATAGCAGGTACCACGTAATGGTTTGGATAGCAGGTACCATGTAGTGGTTTGGATAGCAGGTACTACGTAAAGGTTTGGATAGCAGGTATCACGTAATTGTTTGGATAGCAGGTACCACTCAATGGTTTGGATAGCAGGCACCACGTAAAAGTTTGGATAGCAGATACCACGTAATGGTTTGGATAGCAGGTACCACGTAATGATTTGGATAGCAGGCACCACGTAAAGGTTTGGATAGCCGGTACCATGTAATGGTTTGGATAACAGGTATCACGTAATTGTTTGGATAGCAGGCACCACGTAATAGTTAGGATAGCAGGTACCACGTAATGGTTTGGATAGCAGGTACTACGTAAAGGTTTGGATAGCAGGTATCATGTAATGGTTTGGATAGCAGGTACTACGTAAAGGTTTGGATAGCAGGTATCACGTAATGGTTTGGATAGCAGGTACTACGTAAAGGTTTGGATAGCAGGTATCACGTAATGGTTTGGATAGCAGGTATCACGTAATGATTTGGATAGCAGGTACTACGTAAAGGTTTGGATAGCAGGTATCACGTAATGGTTTGGATAGCAGGTATCACGTAATGGTTTGGATAGCAGGTACTACGTAAAGGTTTGGATAGCAGGTATCACGTAATGGTTTGGATAGCAGGTACTACGTCAAGGAATGGATAGCAGGTATCACGTAATGGTTTGGATAGCAGGTACTACGTAATGGTTTGGATAGCAGGTATCACGTAATGGTTTGGATAGCAGGTACCACGTAATGGTTTGGATAGCAGGCACCACGTAAAGGTTTGGATAGCAAAAACCACGTAATGGTTTGGATAGCAAGAACCACGTAATGGTTTGGATAGCAGGCACCACGTAATGGTTTGGATAGCAAGAACCACGTAATGGTTTGGATAGCAGGTACCACGTAATGGTTTGGATAACAGGTACCACGTAATGGTTTGGATAACAGGCACCACGTAATGGCTTGAATAGCAGGTACCACGTAATGGTTTGGATAGCAGGTACCACGTAATGATTTGGATAGCAGGTACCACGTAAGGGCTTGAATAGCAGGTACCACGTACAGGTTTGGACAGCAGGTAACACGTATTGGTTTGGATAGCAGGTACCACGTAATTGTTTGGATAGCAGGTACCACGTAATGGTTTGGACAGCAGGTAACACGTAATTGTTTGGACAGCAGGTACCACGTAATGGTTTGGATAGCAGGTACCACGTAATGGTTTGGATAACAGGTACCACGTAATTGTTTGGATAGCAGGTACCATGTAATTGTTTGGATAGCAGGTACCACGTAATGGTTTGGATAACAGGTACCACGTAATTGTTTGGATAGCAGGTACCACGTAATTGTTTGGATAGCAGGTACCACGTAATGGTTTGGACAGCAGGTAACACGTAATTGTTTGGACAGCAGGTACCACGTAATGGTTTGGATAGCAGGTACCACGTAATGGTTTGGATAACAGGTACCACGTAATTGTTTGGATAGCAGGTACCATGTAATTGTTTGGATAGCAGGTACTACGTAAAGGTTTGGATAGCAGGTATCACGTAATGGTTTGGATAGCAGGTATCACGTAATGGTTTGGATAGCAGGTACTACGTAAAGGTTTGGATAGCAGGTATCACGTAATGGTTTGGATAGCAGGTATCACGTAATGGTTTGGATAGCAGGTACTACGTAAAGGTTTGGATAGCAGGTATCACGTAATGGTTTGGATAGCAGGTACTACGTGAAATTGTGGATAGCAGGTATCACGTAATGGTTTGGATAGCAGGTACTACGTAATGGTTTGGATAGCAGGTATCACGTAATGGTTTGGATAGCAGGTACCACGTAATGGTTTGGATAGGAGGCACCACGTAAAGGTTTGGATAGCAAGAACCACGTAATGGTTTGGATAGCAAGAACCACGTAATGGTTTGGATAGCAGGCACCACGTAATGGTTTGGATAGCAAGAACCACGTAATGGTTTGGATAGCAGGTACCATGTAGTGGTTTGGATAGCAGGTACTACGTAAAGGTTTGGATAGCAGGTATCACGTAATGGTTT